CAAGATGCTAGATTAATGGATCAGTAGAGTTTCAAAGTTCATTACACTCCCTATTTCGTCATTCATTAAAGTCAGGTCTTGTAATTCTTCCACTATCTTATTTGGATCATGAGCAACATAATTATTGTGTTCTAGCTGTTCAGAAATGCACTTTTTTAAGCACTTCTCTAGTATATATGTTGGTGTGTTACATTTTTCCACTACTGGTCTGTTCTCTTTGTGAATGCAAAGATTCTAGACATTCGGGGGGCTAGGTTTGTGCTCTTTTTAAGAATGTCAAGAAGGATGCAAGTGGTGTTTTTCAAGTTTTTTAATGTGACTATCTTTTCATCCACAATCTCACATTCAGTCTTTCTAATATGCTCCTCAATGGCTTCATTGTAATTCTGTCTTTTCATAATTATCATTTGCTTGGTTTTATCTGCCTCCATTAGAACCAACTGATTTTTTGTTAGCCATTCTTTTGTATACCTTTCATTGAATACCATTTTCCATCTAAAATAATCCTTCTCTCTACATTATTAAGTCCTGCCAGTCCTGTCTCCATTTCAGCCATTGAAGTTTGCCATATGCTTTTGTCATTTGGAACGTAATTGGGCTAATTTTTTAACACTTCTAATCTTTCGGTACTTCTGTCTGGTCCCAGAGGACATCCGGTGTTATATCATTTTTCCTTTTGTCCGGAGCTTGTTTCTTTAGGATTCAACTCATCTTTCTGATATATTTTCTTTTCAGGCTACTTTGTACCAAGTCTGTTAGATTTACCACACTACTATTGATTTCTTTTAACCATTCTGGATTTTCTTTGTATATTCTGTCCTCTAATTCAATAAATTCCTTTAGGCCCATATTGTTTTTTAGAAACTTAATTGACTTAAACATGTATTTTGGAACCTTCACTTAACATTTAAATAGTTGGCATTTCTTACTTCAGTTATACACTAGCTTAGGGGTGGCCAACAGTTTTTGCCCCTGGGCCGAATTAGAAAGAAAACTTTTTCCATGGGCTGAACCTGAGGCTGTCCTAGGAAGATTTTGAGGTGGTGCAAGATCTCATTGTGGTGTCACCCTCGCAGAGACTAAACTGTACATAGAGATTACAGATACATTTTTCACATTATGATGCTTTATCAACACTCTACGCTGTAATGGAGCGTTAACTCTAAATGCACAGTGAGTTGTTGACCTTTTTTCTTTAGGCATCAGAATTTTTCATCGAGCTATTCAGACTTCAGCACCAAATATTGAAAGATTGATTGCGAGCCACATAAATTCATTAGACGGGCCGGATCTGGCCTGCGGGCCATGCCTGCACTAGCTGTTGTCAAAGACAGTACTGCAAACTATAGGAGTTGCAAATTATAATTATTAAATCTTGAAGTTACATATTTTTGGAATTTTTTTTCTCTAAATGTCTAGAGCTTCAGCATTTTGTAAGTTTGAGAATATCATCATGGAAACTTTCAAAGTAAACCGAATGCTAAATGTAGTTGACATTAATTTTCACACACAGGCGACTACTTCAAGAAATTACTGAACATCAAAAAGGCATAACTAAAATTTGTTTGTATGGAAGGATTTTCTTTCGGAAAAGAAACTGGATGCCGTAGGAATGACTTGGATACTTTAGTTTTGTGGCCACATTTTTCTATTTCTTAACTTAGTTATAGCAAGATACAATACTCTTTGGAAAACATTCTTCAAGTTCCATTCGTTCCAATGGGTAAATGAGTGATTGGAAGAGTTTTCTAGTATAATACCCAGATAACCAGACAAAAAAGCAATGATCCTTAAATAAGATCTTATCTGTAGATTGTTAAAGAGAAAAGCTAAATAATATACAGTAAAACCTGCCTAAACAGGAAAAATTCATAGGAACAATTGATTTTCTATGTTAAAAATAAAACCTGTTCAAAACAGAAATCTGCCAAACCATAGAAAATTATATATATATATATAAACCAGCAAAACATGTGTAAACCTGTGTACCAATCCGGTTTACACTGGTTTCGCTGTCCGTCATATACATAAAATTATACGTGTATATTTAACATAAGCAATAAGCAGTTTCGTCCATAATGAAATCTAAAAAAAATTGAAACACCTAAAATATTAAATGTTATTTTGGTAATAGAACGAAAATTGCATCCCTTTATACAGTAACTAAGTCGTTCTAATTTGAAGAAAAAAAAATTAAACTTGTTTTAGAAGAAAGGCGAAAAAATATATATATATATATTTTTTTTCGCCTTTCTTCTAAAACAAGTTTAGTTTTTGTCAAGAAAAACTAACGTTATTCTTATAAAATAAACACACATAGAATGATGTACAGGTAACCCCCGTATAACACGGCACTTCTATAGCACGGTTTCACTCTGACACGGTTCGAGAATTGGGTAAAACCCTCCTACAATATGAAATGTAATAAATTTTTACATACTTAAGTTATAATAGTTCGCAAAAATAATAATTTTCATGAACTATTAGTACTTAAGTATGTAAATTTTCTTTTCTCGCCTTCTGTCCATACACATAGTCCTTCTAGAAACTTGTTTCAATGTTGCCAGATGTTTCCCCCTTATTTTATACTTGCTTTATTCTTCATAAGTGCTTAGCACCATATGAGGAAATTTATAAAGATCTTTTAACTAGAAGCAAGCAATCTAAAATTTCATACATTTTGCAAAAGGTAAAGCATGGATCTGAAGATAATGCAGAAAAATGCTCAGAGGATAAGGATAACTTCCCAAAAAGAAAACGCTCTCGGTTAATTAATAGTGTTTTTAGTGATGACGAAGAAAACATTGTTTAATTTATATTAATATGTATCACTTTAAAAAATTTTAATGAAGATATTTATCTTAATTATGAAAATATACTAGCATGTTTTTTAATTTTTGGAACCTAACCCTCCTTTTCGTATTAGTTCTTTG